ATTTATATTATAGAGGTTTCTATTAGTATTCTTTTTCACAACTAGAGTTAGAAGATTGTATTCCAAAAGTATTAATTAATCTTAAAATAAAAAGAAGGGAGTCTGGAGACTTTTATCAATAACTTCTTTAGTAAAGGCACAATATAGGGTTGAGATAGATTTCTTCGAAATAGACTTCAAAATAGACTTTTTAATGGGTGTACGTAGTATTAGATTGAGTACTATATCTATTGGGGTTAATACATTATTACAATTGGGGACAATAGTTACAACAGAGTTAACTAAACAACAATATCTGGAGCAATACGTGAACATGAACTTAAGAGTCATTATTATCCAATTAATGGTAGGGTTATAGCGTTAAAGCTATGGAAGACCGAGGATTATAGGATCTGCATCGAAAAGATTGGTAATATAGAATAAGCCAATTTCTTTATAATTGTTAATTCATAGATTTAACAATGTATATTAAGATAGGATATCAGAAGTCCTTCTGTCTATAAGTAATAGATTGCGGGTAGTAAAGAGAGGATATATAGGAATACCAAGCTTGAATATAAGAATTCTATCTATAAACCCATATTTCGCGGTTTCATTATCTACTAAACCAATAAATAGAATAATCATATTAAACGCAAGGAAAATTTCTATTGAGATTTTAAGAGATTTGCTATTTATTATTCTAAAATATAAAGAATCTCTAAATATAATCAATCTCTTAATCTACAAAGACAAACTTTTTATAAAGAACCTCGATTTACAATTATAAATCAAGATTAGTCTTTTAATATACTTAACTGGGAAATTGAATTTCCGCTATTATCCGAATATACAAAGCCTTCAACAAATTCGCCTAGATCTCTACTATTAATAGGGATTGGAGAGGTATATCGAAATAGTATTGCAACAGTCGGGAAACAATTAGCAAACGGGAATGTATTTTGATAAGTAGGGCTATAAATATTACGATAGGGTTCGGGATTGTGATGATGATCGGTAATAGGAAAACAATGGATATTCGGAGTGTATTGGTTTGTAGTAGGGGAACGATCGGGATATTATATGGTTCCTGAGTTAGTATTATATTTTATATCGTTATATTGCTTTTCTTTATAATTGAATTTGATATAATCAGGCTTTTTGTAATAAAGATAAAGACCAAGATCTAGATATTATTCTTTATTATAATATAATAAGGATCATTAGTTTTGGCGAGCAGCATCTAATTATATAGAATCTTCAAAGGGATTAGGTATAGATATTATAGTAACAATAATAGGCTTTTTTTCATTGGGTTTTTTCTGATTACTGAAGTTGGTATTTTGATTTTTATATTAATTATTAAGATGAATCTTTTCCTCTAAGTTATTATAAATATCTTGCCATTAGATTACTCATATATCGATATCAGTAGCAGAAGATTTATTAGAATAGTTAACTAAAGCATCAATTAGTTCTTGTGAGATTTTGAGTTTAAGATCAGCGATTTATTATTCAGTAGTTTTCTTGTATTTGATAACAAAACTGCTTGAATTCGATAATAAAGTTATCAAATGGGGTCTTCTTCATTTTATATTTATTATAATTTATAAAAAGCTTTGTATAAAAAATCTAGAGTCTGATATTGCTTATTTAATTTATATCAGATACCTACTACAATACACTATTCAGAAGACCAAAGATCGGAATTATACGCATTATCTGTAATTATATCAAAATATATCTAATTATTTATATAAACAAAACCAAAAAATAGACTAATAAGAAATATGATTTTCTGAAACTCTAATTCATTTTTATAATCCGTGGTCAAGCAGCAATTAATTATATTACAAAAAATCGTATACTGATTTTAACATTTTATAATATCTTGTTTATTATTATTAAACTTTTCAAGAATAGTGAGATACTTGTAACAAGATAAAGCTTATGAATTATTACAAATAGTAATCTTTAATATTTTAATTGTATTTTTCAATTCAATAATCTTTAATTGAATATCAATAACTTGGGCCTAAGCAGTGGCAGTTTAAGCTTATAATAAGCCCGCAATCGATTTAATCAATTTAAACATAGCTTAAGCAATAACGAAATATATAGTATTTGGATTATTAAATAGATTTATAAAGAAAGAGATATCAGTTTCAGCAGAGTTGAGAATATAATTCAAGAAAAGGAACTGCAGAGGTAGACTAGATACAGGTGTTTCTAATGCAAATACTTGTTTACCTATCTTTAACACTTTTGAGGCTCAAAATATCAGTAATAGGATATATAATAAATCAATAATAAATACAATTAATGCGATCGAAATAAGGTATTGATAGGGCTTTAGAAATAAAATAGGAAATAAAGCTGTAATAGCTTATTTAATAATAATACAAACTGTTATAATACGAATAAAGACTTATATTATATTATAAGAATAAAAGAGCTATGGAAAAGTGAAGCCCTATTTATAGAAAGTAGAGCGTGCTAGTATTCTGTACCTGAGGCACGAAGGCAACTATAGATCATGTAGTTGGCGCCGTGACACATAATATCTTACAATCCTTCGAAAAAACGGGTATATATTCTATGAATAGAAGTCTTACAATCGATTATATTACTCCGGAAGCTCCTTCTACACCACCTACATTATTTAAAACTCGTAGGGATACTTTTGCTACATTGTATACATTAAAAGCAATGTATAGAATGAAATTAGAATTTCGTTGTATTCCTATTCATAAAATCACTTTAAAGCTTTTTAAGATTACAATTATATTAGAAGCTGAAGTTTTTATAGGGGTATAGATTTAAAGATTTAGAAGAGGCTCTAAAACTTAAAAAAGGAAAAGAGTTTGTTCAAAGCATTTAAATCTTATTGGAGAGAAGGGGAATAGTATGTTTTTATAATCACCTTCTGCTATTATTAAAGTTAAAGTATATCAAGAAGATAAAGCACTTAAAAAGGAACAAGAGAAGGAAACTAAGCTTTAAATAAAAGCTAAAAAGAAAGTTGAGAAGGAATGGAAGGAGATTGAAACGAAAGAAAGGGTATTGTAGAGGGAGGTTGATTATCAGATTGTTACGTAAGCGGACACAATAGGAGTTGTAAGCTTTACCACTACGCCACACACGCAATCTGTCCAAAAGGCACAGTATCAGGGATTGTTTCCTGATAGCTTACTACTATATATATATCCATATAATACAGATTGTATGTAATGCAAAAGAGGAAATTAAAAAGACTCTAAAATCAACAAAATCTCCAATCAAAAGAAATAAAAAGTTTCCCAAAGCTTCTTCTACTATAAATCTAACATCGACAAAGACTATAAAACTCTTTAATACTGTAGAGACTAATAATTCAAAGAAGAAAAAGAAGAAGATCATATTGCAATCTAATAAAAGACAAACACTACAAATTCCATCGAAATTCAAAATCTGAAGATTTTATTATATTTTTTAGATAATATTATATCTTGTCATTTATCAATTAAATTGCTAGCTTTTTATCTTATAAATTGGAATTGTTATTAATTTTTAAAGTTATTCAAAATGGGTGATCGAGATCGTGTATATAGCAGGGACGTGCACGTAGTAGGGAAATCGGTTACTGTATATGGGTATGATCACGCATGTGGCATATAGCTAAGCAAGCCACTAGTCTACACGGAATACTCGGTGTATCCTCAAAACTCACAGCACTGCGCTCTGTACACTTTGAGACCGTTCCATTGCGACTGCTCAGAAAATATTCTTAGCCTTTGGTGGCTGAGTGTGGCTGTGCGACTTAGAGATTTGGACCGACGAGGCTGAACGAGTAATGCTTTCTTGGAAGACCGTGTCAAAACGCATCATGTCGACTTCTCCCATCTTCAACCTTCTGAGCACCATCAAAAAGGCGAGGAGTCGAAGCAAAATACAACTGTGATACTGGATGTGGCAGAGCTCGTGGCGCACCGGTTGCGCACACAAACGGTACACGCAATGAGACTGCTGAAGTCTCTATTCCTTTCGTACAACTGAATCCGACAACCAAGAACACGATGCTGCAAAATTAGTGTCGAATCTTCGCGTTTCCCATACCAAATCACGAACACGGAGTTGATCATTACTCATCCTGCTCGTTGATAGTCATGGAGTCATGATTTGATTTGTATCCATCCTGTAGTTCTGTATTGATCATGAGTGTTCACAGAATTGAAATCATCAACTTTTGGGTTTGAGATGTGTGAATCTGGAGTCGATTGTTACTCCGCTGCTTAATACTAGTCATGGAATCCTGGGTTTGAAGTGTATTCATGGTTCATTCCTTTATGAATCATGAAAATATTGTGCCTTTCGAGTCACAGCCCCCATGTTCTGAGGCACACTCATACCAACTAATTGTATTAATCATGAGGAAGTATGAACTTGACAGAAGAAAAATGGTCGATTCGGTACCTCGAAATGCGCTTAAATAGGTTAGGATGTCCTCCTTTGAGAGACCTTCCTTCTTCCTTGTGCATGCTCTACTTTGAAGAGAAAATCGTGATATCAGATACTTCCAAGGTTCTTTTGAATGGGACACACAGTTGGAGATCGTGCGGTTTAAGATCATACATATTGCCATCACATACTCGTACTCTCTCACGTCACTCTTGCTCTCGATTTTGATAACGTCATACAAGAACCGCTTTATCGCACCTCGATATTGCACCTTCAACAACTTCACCGTCACTTCCTTACACTTTTTCGTCGCATACTCTACTATCATACACTCGACACAAAATCATAAACACCACTCTCGACAAGCCATACAATCATTCCTTTTTGAGACCATTCTCAAGTCGTTTTTTATTGCGACGTCGAAAACATCTTATCATTCCTAATCAACATGATTGAAAATAATCGAGGGATTCGCTGTCAAATCAAAGCTTTACCCTTCATCACCGTCTTGGTATTCGCTTTGACTTTTTGAGCATTTCGACTTTTGGTTACTTGAAGGTCAGGATTTCTAGTGCTCGTCAATAATGGGTACCTCACGTTTCTCTCGTCATAGAGGCCGCCCTCGTCACCATAATCCTCCTCCCCCTACTTCCTCCTCCGCCCGCGTCCCAGTTCCCGATATTGCACCCCCAAAATATCGGACCTGGAATATAGAAATTCAAGACGTAGCGGTCTTCTTTGCATTTGGCTTGCGCCGCCAGGATTTCTTGAATCCTCATAAGGGTTGCGGCCGAATGTCGATCGGAGGATGGGAGGCTTTAACAGATTTGATGAATGAGCTGATCGCGATAAATAATTATCAGTATGAACCATTGCAAACTAGATTGTTGCGTAACAGGTTCGAGTCCTCATTTAAAAAAATAGCACTTAATCAGCTTAAAATGACTTCAGACTTACCAATAACACCATCTGAAAATTGGGTTCGCAAAGAATTCTTGGACATCGTTTTAAGCTACCCTACAAATGTTCCTGAATCCCCAGTCCTAGGAGCCTGCACATCGGCTTCAACGACGCCTGATAGGTGCAGGATGTGGGGAGGCCTAGAAATCCAAGGTATAAAGAAAGCAACACAAGCGATAAAACAGCACAACGATTATAATAATGGTATTACGTCTAGCCCGCCGCTCCCATCAGAGAATTTCTTGAAAAAGGCAAAATTTCTTCCCGAAAACCAAAGTACTTTGGAGACTTATAATAACTTTCGAGCACAAGGGCCAGATCATCGCCCAGCAACTCAACAACAGGTCGGTCAATCTCAAGCATCGGCTCTTCAACCATACGGTGCTCAACAGGCTGGTGGTTTCATGGGTGGCTATTCACATGGTTATGCAAGTGAACAGCCACCAATTTATCCTACAATTTATCCTGATTATCTTACTCAGTATCAAGAAAATCAGGGTAGTTATTCAGATAGTCAATCGTGGGCTATGCAACCTTCTACATCGGCTACTCAATCATACATAGGTCAACCGCCTGGTGGGAATACGGGCGCTCATTCATATGGTTATCAAAGTGGTCAAGCAAGTCAAGGTGGACAAGATGATCAGCATTATTATTACCAAGGAAGTGGTCGCTAGGTAAAATTTCCAACGCTACCATACATTTTACCCCTGATATCAATATCTTCTACACCCTCTAACTTTTCAATAGATTGTACGAGATTCAAGAATAGGGACGGCGCTTACAGTTTGGGAGCCATAGCGCCGTACTGCAAAGGGTAGCTTTAACAAACTTTCTTATCTTGTCAATTCATGATGGTTCACCAAAATACTGGCTCTAGACAGAGAAAACGGGGGCTTCTAGTCTGTCCATTTTTGTATGCCGATGGCTGTATCACTCTCAAAATCTTTCCTTATTATTTAATAGGTTGTATGGACCACAGCGAGGGACAAAGCACGTTACAGGTTTTAGAGTGTTTGGCGTTAGAGTTTCGGGAAGATACCCAAAAAGCAGTTGGCTTTTATAAATCGTTGAATTATACGCATCCAAGGTTTAACTTGCAAGTTTTCTACAAGTTAGTGATATGAATCCTAGAAATATAAACTCGATAAGGATTTCTAAGTTAGGTTGGTAAAGTGGTCGACTTGTCCCACTTTTTTGTTGTCATTTATTTTTTCAGATTCCAGTTATTTCCTGCACTTCTTGCTTTCCTGGAAAGCCATTTGGCGGAATCATGTACAGAGACATTTTTGAACCTTCGAATATGCCCCTTTTGCTTATATGCTTGTATCAAACAGATTTATTATATCCTGACGTCAAGGCCTGGAAAATGGAATGGAGAATAAAGGAAGAAGAGCTACTCGGTTAACTGATATCGAGTTTGACATGCAGAAGTTTAACAAAATGAGAGGCTAGACTCGAGAAGCGGACCGGCAGTAGCAAAGGTGATGGAAGGATTATGTTCATTTGGCAGTCATCTGCATTTTGATAGAGCACGAACTTCGCGCGATGTTTGAAGAAGAAAATTTTGTTATTGAGAGGGGGCTTAGAGGGTGATAACTATGACAGCGAGGACACAGTGTATATTACGATAGGCTTATCTTTGATAGTCAAATGCATGATTAGTCGAGGTGTTGGTACGGCGTCTATCAAAAGGAGAGAGTGTTTTGTATCAAGCCACGCTAGTCGAGACTAGCTTTGAGTATAGTTTACGATGATGCGGAAATCATCTCCATAGATCAAATTGGGTCGTATGATAAAGTACGAGGTGAGCGATTATCAGAGAGCTGAGAACAAGCTTGAACGTCGAGATTAGAGGACGATACACTAGCATTAATGTGGAATCTGATATCAGCAGTCTATTACTGGATTCAATTTCTCTATTTGTAGCCCTCTACTTAAAGTGCTTCATACTCCAGAACTCATCAACACATGCTGATAGTCAACAATCGGATTTTGTTAGCCCGTCTTCAATTTGACCTGAACGTTTCGATATTCATTCCCTTGCGGTCATTAACAACTAGTTAATCTGATGTTGAGCAAAAAAGACTGGAAATATTATATCTTTGCACTGATGCTAGACCGCGATCTGTTGGGATGGTAGCTGCTTTCTTATATATTCAAATAGTACGAAATTCTTTTCTTAGAACTAAAAGAAAAATAGGTAATCCAATTTCGGGGGCTAACAGACAAGTAAAGTACAGACGTTAATTACTAAATTCCTAATCTCATCCTTTGAGAAAGCAAATAAAACAAACCCAGACGCCAACCAACAAATCATCTATCTTCTACTAGATCCCCCTGCACGGCTTCTGGAACGTTCCTCACGAGTTTTTCCACCTGAAGGTTTCTTTTCCTTTTCCCTCGCCTCAAGTCCCTTTTTCTTTTCATGTCTCTCAATTCGATCTTTCAGAATTTGGTTATTAGCAAGATTAGGATGCTTGCTTATAAATTCACGAGTCAGTACTTTTGAGGCAGCTTCTGACCTTGTCCCAAGCTCCCTGCTCCATTTTTCTAGACGTTTCATCAAATCCTCAATTGTTTTTGCATCGCGTGACTGCAGACTCCATGATTTGATTTCATCTTTACTGATGTTACCGAGTCCCTCCATATCTGAACAATCCTTTCCGTCTCTGGCGAGGGCACCCTGATACTGAATTTCTAGGTCGATATGGTCTCTGACGCATATGGTCGCCGGTGGCGAACGTACTTTAACAGATGCCACCATGGTGAAAGAATGTGTTTTTTGGTGCTTGTTGATGGGTGAATGTGAATGCGATAATTGAAGATAGAGTGATAGATAAAGGAAGTTTGTCTGGTGTGTGGTGTTGAGGTAAATTGATTTGAGGAAGTTCAGTAGATGATTTCTTATCTCTTATATAGTTTCAGTTACATTCCCAGCGTCTAGGCATCAGGGTCTCGATGCTGGGCCCATTGCGAGTCTACAGAGGTTTGGGCATTGCAGCTATTCGGAGATTGTTCGAATGCCAAAATGTATTTGTCTGCCTTAACAGCACGTGATTATGATATTAAAATGTCGACAAATGTGTACTTAGGCCTGCCTAGATTGGGGTCTCTGCGGCGGCTTAGTGCCTATGTAGACGCCAGGAACTCAGATAATCCCGATCCTCTGACCCGTGTCTCCGTAGTTGAAAAAAAAACAGCTTGTATGGAATAATGTAAAAGCAATTGATGAAGACAAGAACTTTGAGGATCTAGTAGCTGATCGCAAGTTTAGTTAGCTTTCTAGTTTGCCCAACTCATCTACCCAGGTAGATAGATATCCACGTCGCATTAGGTTCGCTTAATGAATCTTTTCAAGTCTCATACAAGCTTACTTAGATACTTTCTTCTCAATAAGCTTTCTTACATTAGTCTTTCAACCCCCTATAAATCTATATATTTCATTGATATATAGGGATGCGAAGACTCAACACCTGTACGCAGTGCATCCTACGAACCTCCAGCTCTCTCTTGAGAGTCTGTAGAGCTAAGATTGAGTTACAAATGAAATTAAAAGAATTGAAAAGAGAAAGGTGTTAGAGATATAGCGAAGAATTATATTACGATTTTACAATAGCAATACCTACAAAGAGTTGAATACTAGTTTTAGATATAGATACAAAGATTATAAAAGCCTTGATCAGATTCAACATTTACCATTGATTATTACTTTATAGAAATAAGATATACAATAGATCTCTTTTCTTTAGAAAAATCTTTTTGATATAGAGCTTGTTATTGTTCTATTTATATTACAATTCCTTTTTTTATACCCTTTAACTTTTAGTTATTCAAATATTATAATGATACAATATAGAGAATGCCATCGCCTTCAAATTAATACTATACTCTGGGTATCGATACAATACAACGTTTTTCCTCTTAATTTTCGAATTTTCGAATTTTCCGAATTGATTTGTATATAGACTTAGGGCTTAGCTTTATTCTACTACTATTAATAGTTTCGATTATACACATCTAATAAGAACTGGAGGATATCAAGCTTATAAAAATATATAAGGGGTTAGTTTAAAAGAAATAAAGATAAAGAAAAGTAATACCTTCTACTACTACCTCATTAACAAGAGGATCCTTTGCTATATTGAAGGCAACTCAGAAAGGAAGAACTCTTGCCTTTTATAAAAAAGAAGGAATAGCAAATTGAATTTAGGATTTTAAAAAAAGAGAAATTGGATATTGGAATACTTTAATTGGATTAGGGGAAGGGAAAAGTCAAAAAGGAAGTATCTCAAAGGATAAAAACAATTATCTCTATTTGTATTCTGAATAGAGATTGGGCTTAATTCCCCAGCATTCGTTTTTACTCCTCTAAATTGAATATATCTATATCACGGAGGTAATAGCTATGTCTAATGGTCACTTTGATCAGGAGATAGGTATATAGAGTGATAATAAACTAGATTGACTTGAGGTGTGATCATAAGGATCATACCTGCTTTATATACCCTGATCAGGCGATGGAGTCGCCTAATTAGGTATATAGGGTACACAAATGAACTGAGTGAAATAGTTTTAGTAATCATGGGAATGAGTACTCCGGAGGAGTACTAGGATTAACACCGTAGGGTTACACTATACGGTGAATTCCGTGACACACCCCCCAGATCGCTCGGTGCTTTGATGGTTACACTGAGGGATCTGCATAGCAAACAAAGGAAAATTTTTTCTGGCCGTGAGCGGCGTAAGCGTTGGTGAGCGCCTTGTTCGGGTAGTTGCTGTGATTTTACCTGCCGGGCAGGCTTATTCATCAGATAAAGGAGCGTGAGGCGTATAAAGCGTATGATTTTTCAAGAAAAGAAAAGAGTGAGTTGTATCGTTGATCAGGAAAGCCTGTGAGAAAGTGACGATATTCGAGTGAGGGAATTAATCCTTCGGATTGTTGCATATCAGGAGGCTTGAGTCATTTTGATTGTTATGCGGTTGAGTGTTTGTATCAATTGATTCGATCGATCCGCGCATACGACGCTCTGTGGCGGAGATGGAATTGAGTGGAATTCGATGGATTTTGAGAGAACTTAGTGGATCGATATGATTATAAGAGGGAGACAGTTCCCCTTCCTTAGATTCATATTCGATAATTCCAATACGTTCTTTCATCATGCCTTCTCCTGTCAGAGAGTCCCCGGCCTTTATTGATCTTGTTGATCGATATACAACCGCCTCCCCGCATACCTCACCGAAGGGTGACATTCAATCTGGTGGATCTAATGCTCAGCGTTCTCCTGGTCAGTTATTGCCTGCAGCTGAGGTTCGATCGCCCTCCAACAAACAGTTTTCACGGACAAGACCATCCTTTGGTGAACATCACCAAGATCTCGATGATAGCTTTCTGAAGAAGGTTGAAGCTGTTCGAGATCGCCGGGCTGATGCAAACAAAGGTCGTACAGTGATAACTCCCGCGGATCGTGGTAATCCTTTTGTCGATAGCGAGGAAGAATATCATCTTCCTGACCTTCCTCCCGACGGCGAGAGTTCCTCATTGGAGTCACCTTTCTCTTCTTCCACCAATCCCACCCCCGCTCCTAGGTCAAGTAAGAGCCGGACACCTACTCGCAAAGCTCGTGATGAGCGCAAGCGGAAGGGCCCAAAGCGTGATCTTAGGAATAAGGGTGCG